AAGGTCATTGTTGTCTTCAAGTAGTCTGTCTTGAAGTTGGACTAAATAAGCCTTGCAGGATGGACAGAATATGCTGAATGGTTGGATAGACCAAGCACTGCAGGGTGGACGTGGCGTTTGGAAAGTGAAAGTCATTGCTGTGTTGAACCCGAGTCAGCTGAACTTGTTTGGTGTTTTTGCTAATTGTGTGCATATATTAGCCAGTTATTGCCAACTTCAACTTCATGGAATTCTGCTGTTCAAGCCAGTATTTACTTGCAGCGAAGGGAGCACCTGAGGCAGCTGGACTTGTTTAACTATGAATCAGCTGAACTTGTGTTACTCATTTGCGAAAATTTGTTGTTTTCTAATGGAAGCAATTTCTTGTTACGTTAACAAAGACAATAAAAGGCATGTTATGTATTGCAAGAAAAGTCTTGGAAGCCATCCTTGGGGTCAATCAATGATGGCTGGACTTCTTTTATGTATTTTATTTTTGAGGAATACATGTAGCTTGATTAACTATGAATCAGTTGAAAATTTCTCTGTTCTATATTCTTGTATTGGAAAATCATTATGTAAATGAGAGATTCAATGCTTACTTATAGTTACTTGTGATTTTATACCCCTACAAATATTACCTTATAGTGCAAAAATGCCTTCAACTCTACGCTATTAAGTACCCAACTACACTGTAGCACGTGCATCGCACGTACGCGCACTAGTCTAAAAATAAGTTGTTTTGGGCCAAAGTTCTTATCTTTTTAAGGTATTAAATAGATTTTCCATGAGTGAAGCAAAATCTCTACCGATTCCCTTAGCAAATCACTTCAAACTATCAAGCGAACAATGCCCATTAACTGATGAAGAGAAATAGAGAATAAATTTGGTTCCTTATGCTAGTGCTATTGGTTTTTTAATGTATGCTATGGTATGATATAGACTCAATATTGCTTTTAAATTTACTAATTACATATATTCTAATTTTGGTGAAGACACGGTAAAAATAACTACTTCGTATGTGTTACACTTTGAGGGACTTCCATTAGTTGGAAGTCTCAATTGCATAAGACAGTTGTCTTATATTCAACGGAGACAAAATCTGTAATAGGATATAAAGGAAGGAATTGACTAAGTTGTTTACTTTCTGAATTGGACTATTACAATGAAGATAAATATAACATTGGATTCAAATAGTAAAAGTTTCATTTACCTTAGTAAAAATCCAATATTCCATGATAGAACAAAACATGTTGATAAATTTAATTACTATTGGGAAATGAGTAATATATGTCATAGAATGCAATATGAATTTAGATGATTGAGAAAGTAAATTGTGAAATAACAATTTAGAAATATCTCTTTTTTAAAAAAATAGTTACAAAATGACAGTGCAAATTACTAAAATATTAATGACAACGTGCAAATGAAAGTTATTGAAAAGTAATAACAACATGCATTGCACGATGCTAAAAGATTAACGGAATATATAAATGAATGTTGTTGAAAAGTGACAACGACGCACAAATGCACATAGCTAAAAATATTAATAACAATGCTATTTCAATATTTAGCGAAGTACATTGTCTGTTGTCATGTTCGTCCACTAAACAGCAACATCGAAAATCACAACTTGCATGTGCACATTGTTAAAGACCTACTAAAACCATTCCACTGGTTGCAAAACATCATATATCTTGTAATGTATCAAGAGTATGAAACTGACAATTACTATTGTTAAAAATAAAAACAAAAATCATTAAAAAAAATGAATAACATCATCAAGACTTTTGTAACAAGTAAGACGAAACCGATATTTTTGTAAAACGTCACTTGTAACATAGGGCGCTATTCTATATAAAAATTATGTAAACACATATAAACATAGTTCAGATAATTGTCATATCATGCAAACTGTACCAAGTTTGGATTACATAAATGTCATCTATATTAAGTTACCAGAAACCAAAAGATGAAAAACAATATGAAATTATTTTTTATGTAAAATAACAATCTAACATGTATATTGATGAATAACAAATTTTGGAAGATATGATTTTATCAAGAATATGAAGAGGGCAGTTATCTTGATTGCATGAATTATAATATAAAAAAATTTCTAAAACAGTGATCAATCTCATTATCATTAAAATAGCCTTTTTTTTTTAAAAGAATAAAATCGATTTTTATCAAATAAAAGACGTTACAACTTTGAATTTTCATTTATTGGTGGCGGAAGGCATATCTTCAGCTTTGATAGCGTGTTTGTGGGATTTGAATTTTTTTTTTTGGTCAGATATCATTGTTAGGGGTTTGTTACCACTCAAAATTCAATTCACATGTTTTTTTTCTTATCAAATTATTGTTAAAAAATTACAGTATTACGTGAATTTACACTCGTATCAGTTTTTTGGGATTTATATTGTTAATATGACCATATTTGTACAATTATATATTTACATGTAATAATGGAACTGTGGGCTTATTGGGCCTTATTTAGGTGGTTCTCTTTTAACACCTTTGGGCCAATTGCTTAACCCGGTGTGTGTGCCTATCTATATCACGTGGGTTTTGGCTTCTCTGACA